GCTAGATCCAAGTTTTATACTACTCACTAATTTTTATGTACGAAGGATTCACAAATGCGAAGTGTATGATAAAATTGGACAATTCGTAAATGCACTTTGCTGAGCTTAGATAACACCCAAAAGCTTCTTTTCCATATCTTTAATGACTAGCGCCAATGTGGATTTTTCCATAGGCCAGGCAGACATTTGCTACAGAAGCAGTCCGAAAGTCGATAAACACCTTTTTATAGGTTTTCTGATATGCTCTTTTCAATGGCTGGCTTTACAAAATTCCAAGAGACTTTCATCTGAGTTCTCCAGAGACCGGCTCTCTACAAAACCCACACGTAAGTACTCTGGAACTTTGTAAAGCACGCCGTTGGAAAGAACATATCTGAAAACCTGTAAAAAAGTGTGTATAGACTTTCGGACTGCTTCTATAGCAAATATCAAAATCCTTAGCCAAAATTGTCACACTATGCTTCGACTCTGGCGTTCCGTTACATCCAACAAGTTTTTGCTTAATAAAACCTACTAACCGCACATCATTCGACGCAGTTTCTTGCGCTGATTCCGAATATGTAATTTTTGTTGAATAAAAACGTTTCCGAACCGAGAAAAATGAAAAATATCTGAAAAACTCAAGTTTTTTGGAAAACCCGCTGTCTGCTTCAGAAACATTTGCGCATTTTTGCGCATTCACCATAGATACAAAGCATGTTGACGAACATTTTGCCAAAGTTTGGTCGAGCTTCGAATTAGGTTGTGGAAGGCGCGCTCATTTTACTGAAAATAGCCGTTCCGAAAATCATTTTAGAAAATTTTTGTAAAATTTTCTCAGCTCTTATACGTCCAAATTAAAATTTTTTCTTACTAATCTATAGCCGAGACCATGTAGATTTAGAATATATCTCGTTTTTGATTACAACTCCATTGACTGTTGTGAAAATTATACTTTTCTCGTCGACACCACTCTTATCAAGCTATTTTTTGGTTTTTTGTTATCTGTTTTCCTATGATCCATAGATTTTGTAACAACAATTTTTATGCCATCGGATAGAGCATCACTTGAAGTATATAAATCACTATTTAAATCATTCGAAAGTCGCTTTTCATTTTCCGCCCTAATGTCCGCCTGGATGCACACTGTGCTGGCCCCACCTGTCTGGATATTGTGACCAGCTTACTTTGTAGAGAATTTCTAGGGTTATCCAATGGTATGTTTTCGAACAATACATAATTTTTCTTTATGGCAGAAAGACGACTAACGGAGTGTTCAAAGCACTAAGATAGGCGACAACCATTATACCGGTCAAGTATTTCAACTAATGACCAATGCGGACATATTTTTGAAAGACCCATTTATAGCTCATTTTGAAGCTCGTGAAATCGGGCTCGTGAAAGGGCAAAAAATAATATTCACATGTGCAACTCTGACCGTAGCTTTTGCAATCATCGCGGGTTGAAACCGGTAACGATAATCGGTACGAACCGGTTGGACCGGTAACCGGTAAGGTGTGGTTCTCCTTACAGTTCCATCCCTACAATCAACCACGGGCTACTACAATTCGTGTTCAAAAGTTTGGGCTTTTCAAAAGATCTATGGAAAATCTGCATAGGTTCTACAGAAAATCCCGAAAGTTTTCTGAATCAGGTGGGCAGATAGAGTTAAGAATTCTGAACAAAATCAGGTGCCGCCCGACTCTTTCTGAAGGTCAGTGAGTGAGAAACTCGAAAGACAAGATATAGCGTTGATATACTACATTCTATTTAGCTTGACAGTTCGAGATCTCATAACTGTTTTAGATTAAGTTTCAAAAAATTGTATTACATACCATTTTGTTCAGAATTCCTAACTCTATCTACCCACGTGTTTCAGAAAACTTTCGAGATTTTCTGAAGGACCTATGCAGGTTTTCCATATATCCTTTGAAAAGCCTACACTTTTGAAGACGGATTCTAATAGCCTTGATTGTACTAAAAAAACTTACTTTCTCTACTCTCCAGGTACAAACACTCTCAAACGACATCAAAAAAGTTGAATCGACGAGATTTTCGGGAAACCCGGATTTCCCACTGAAGACACAGGATGAGATTGATCTGAACATGTCACCAGATAGAGTACATCTTAGACTACTTATGGACAAAGAATCTTGTTTCCATCTCCTGTGTGCATGGAGAAACAAGATTTTCTTTTAGATCACCGTTTTTTGGCTCGAAAATTTTTTCTGTTGAACGTCAAATTTTTAACAGGATTTCTTGAAAATCAATTCGCAATCACAAATTTTTTAATACAGACCGAGTGATGTTTTTGCATTGGTAGATAGTCCACAGTGCCCTCCACAAAGCTGGATCCAAACGTTCTCCTGATTCTGCATGGTTCAGCCGCAGGAACAAATTTGTTCTTTCTTCTTCTTGAAGCTTCTTTTGAAAACGGTAATAGTTAGAAAGTCGGTAGAGAGCAAGTAATATGAATTTCAGGAGAATGTTCTCAGAGTAGAAAGCATTCGCAGCTCTTTTTAAGTTTTTCTCCAGCATCACTTAATTTGATTGCTTGATTATTTTCTCTACTTTTTGCACCTTCTCCAGTGTGTGTAAGGCAAATGCCTGAGTATTCTTTCACATTATTTACCTTTTCGAAGTCAGATGGTTATCAGAGATGGGCGAGTACGAGTATACTCGAGTACAAAATTTTCAGTACTCGTACTCGGGATCTTTTTTTACGAGTACTTAAAAATGTACTAGAGTATTTTCGAGTACTTGAAATTTTTTACGGGTATACTTTACAAAGAATTTTTGGCTGTGTGAATTTTTTTTATTGTTCCTGCAACATCCGCACCAATAGAGCGAATTTTTTCTCAAAGCGGCTTTATCACCCGCCCACATCGTTCAAAGTTATCAGCATCAACGTTATGCATGTTAACATTTTTAAAATGCAATAATGATCTTCTAGAATAATGTTTCATTCTTCTGTTTTCAGATAAAATAAAACAAATAAATAATAAAAATTAAAATAAAAAAACTAAGACTAGAAACTAACTCTTCTTCAACTGATGGCCAGAGAGATACTAAAAATGGCTATAGTTAGGCAACTAAAATTTTTTCATGAGTATTTTGTTCTTTTAAAAAGTTTTGTACTCAAGTACTTTTTGGAAAATACACACCTTCAGTAAAACTAGACAACCCATCAGCAAAATTCATTTTAAAAACTGACAAGAAAGCTCACCTCATTTATTTTTATCACTTCTGCAACAAAAGACAGTTCACAAAACAACTAAAAGTTTAGATATAATGGTCTGTGGTCTGACGTTTCAGTGCATCTGCTATAGTGACATTGATGCACTTTAATAAGAAAAGGTGCGCTACAAATTCATTGGGTGAAATTCTCAAATTCAATCAGAAAACCTAAAAGTTTGACATATAGGAATAATGATCTCAATTCACTGAAATGAAAACCATTTTTGATTGTTAAATATTCAATTGATGACGATTGTTGATATGATTGTAGCAAAAGTCTACCAAAATTTGATATTATATAGTTTTCGCAAAACAATGACAAATATTTTAGATTTGTTAAATGAAATATTTTTCTATATATAGAGTCTAATCGATGCTAAGATACTCGTCAGATGTTTGAAGTGATAGATGAATCAAATTTGAAAACTTATCTAAGTTTTCTACAATGCTTTCCTAATTCTTTGCTTCATCATAGCTTATTTTTTTGAGGGTTAGTTTGAGTGTTTGCAGATTGATCCAATTGCGTGCATTGATTGTAAAGAAATGATCTAAAAGAAAAGATATATTTATAATGATTTCTGTTCTACCCTCTATCTCCTGTAACTATCGCCTTTTCTAATAGATAAAACTTTATTGCCATTTTCCTCGGGTTCTCTCGAGTTCTAACGCTAATCAAGCAAAAAAAATTAGGAATAAGGATAAATCTGACTTATTTCTTCTTCTTACATTTTTAACAAACAGACTACTTGTGTTTTCGTTCGCCAAATTTTACGTACGTATACTTTTCCTTTTCAATGAAAACAAACTGAACATTAATTCTTATGATTGTAAACCCGTTTTCTTTTGTAGGATTTGCTCTTATGTCTATTCTATTTCTGTTATGCAATATACAAACTATTATTACTTGGTTCGTAACTAGAATCACTTTTTTTTTCGTATATACGTAAGAAGAGCTTAATTTTATACCTCTCTTGTCTTCTATAAAACACCAAGTGCGGAAAGGAGATAGAAAATCATGGTTTTCTTTCTTATATTTTCCTTATATTTCTGTGAAAATAGATAATGTGAAACGTCAACAACCATGGTTATCATAAAAACCGACAGGTCTCTATTTCTTCAAAAAATTATCATGATTATTCGGCTTGGGCACGTAAAAAGATCCCTCAATGTGATGAATTTGATTTCAAAAATTAAAAAAACATCTAACAGCATCATATAGGGCGCACCTGATAGTCTATAAAATAACTCATGTGACCTCTGTATCAGTCACACAAAGTATTTTGTTGTTGGTTGAAAGGGATACGATTATACGATGGATATTTTTTGTTCTCTCCCTACATTCTCTTCCTATACTAAATCCACTTTTCTTCCTAATCTCTCACAAGCGCAGAGATAGTTATATATGAGAAAATCATCTCATCAAAATTACAATGCGATTCCATTGTGTTTGATTACAACAAAGAAAGAAAACCTTATTCGAGTGTAAAACTTCGCAACATAAATATGTCCATTATTAGCAAGATGAAAAATCACTATTTCAGATAGCCAAGGGAGTAAACGATAGAGTATAAACGAACTAGGTTTCGATCTCGAATTTTCGAACACCGAACTGATCGAACTCGAACGTTCGGGTTCGAAACATCCCTGGTCGCCAGAGCCGTCGCTTCGAGGAGTAGGAATATGTGCCTTTCAAGGCTACTAAAGGTTCTACAGGTTCACAACTGCGCCAAAACCGTTGAAAGCTTTTTTCATCGGATTTTGCGTTGCCAGAAGCAGACGCGTGGTCAGATTGATCTTATCTGAAGAGAAATACATTCATGATTGTTCCACATACGAAGAGTAAATTGCTTACCCGCTGTTAATGGATCGAGTGGATGGCGGACTGGTGGTGAGACACCATCGGGGACGATATTGGGTGGTGGAAGGTCCGCTATTTCGGATGGATGTGTCGGTAGTTGAACTGGTTGTGCAGCTAATTCTTCGGGAGCAGTTTGATCAGCATTCATCATTTGCGGCTTGTCCATGTGAATCAAGGTTGATCTCCTTAAAACTGGCTCTAAACTATCTCTTAGAAGTGTTACTAGACACTTTTGATTGTTCAAAAGTACGAAAAATTTTAAAAGCTAGGAAGAGTTTCAAAGTTTTCTTCATGCAAGGACGTTCTTTCGACTAAAAAGCTCTGATCTACTCTCAACAATTGCCCCTTGTGACTCATATGACTAAAATCGTGATCTACGACGCCTAATACTTGAAACTTGCATAGTTTCCAGAATCAAGAGTTCAATTTTGAAAATCTAACTCGTGTTCATGATCTCTTTTTTACGTTTCACAGGACATGATGTCAATTGTATGTGAAGCATGGAATATCCTGCACAGCGTTCTTGCCATGTCGAATGGCGAAATCGGAAAAGTAAAGGGGAACTTCTAAATAATTTTCTTGTTGAAATTGGCGCCGATATTTGTACACATCGCTACAAAGAAGATGAAGTTCGTCAAGGACATGTTTTGAATGATGCTGAAGATAAAGTGGTTCAAGACGTGAAAATGAAAAATGGAATGTTAAAATAAGCGAATGTTTACGCATTTGGCGAAAAGGATGTGAGTATTTGAATTTTCTAACGCTTGCTGGGGTCTTCCTGTCGCCGCCGTCTACGTTGTTCGTGTTCGGCGAAAAGACTATGAGTATCGCGGGGTAAAATCTAATTTCGCTCGAATTTCTCCCTGAGACGTCGTTTCCGAAGTGCTAGAATAAAATGTTCAGAGACTTTTTCCTACGTGAAGGCAAAGCTATTTTGAAATAAAGAATCATTCTTGTTTCGGTGCGGAATTGGAAAATTTAACCCTTTGAGTCCCGGCGACGTATATATACGTTCAGGTATTTCGCTTAGAATATCGGCGACGTATAAATACGTCTAAATGCAATTATTGAACAAAAGGATCACTAGCATATTCCTTGAAGAAAATGCGTCGTTTGCATATCCTATTATCAAACATGTGCGCCGGTGAAAAATATTCGACGGCGGCGAATCAGTTTTCGAACATCGGCGGAGTAAAGCTGTAAAACGCTGTTCCATTTGCGGCGACGGCGTATAAAAATTGTTTGGCACCAGCGCACCTACAAATCTGAGGCTGAGATAACCACTCGTAACATCTTTTTCATGTTCAGTTGTGAGTTGTATTGTTTGTCTTATAGTTTTCCCAATGCATTCAACATCACAGTTATTATACCTAATTTCATAAACTATCCCTGAAGCCTCACTCGTAGCTAGACGCTCTTTTAGAGAAAAATGATGTGTTCTTCTTCAAAAAAATCATTGCAATCAAACTAGAAGCTTTCTTGAAGCTAGTAGTAGTTTACGTATTGACTGAACTTTTCTTTACGCCGTCAGAGGTATCGACTTTATGCAATCCGTTACAAAAGACTAACAATTTCCAGAATAGTGTGAAAACAAGATTTGGGCGCTATCTGGAAAATGGTCGGAAAACGGTGGCAGCTTGAATTTAAAAAACTTCTCCTCCGTCCTAGGCGGTTACAAAAGTTTTAGGGCATGACGGCGCTGCAGGTCACAGTAACTTTTCCACCCGTCCGGCGGCGACGGCGAACCGGCGCACATCTCTGCTCATAATGTTCGATGTGATACACGATAGATGGTAGTGGATGAATGTAGAATTTTTGGCAGTACATCAATAAATAATAAAAAGAGTAAAGATCTCAGGTTTGACTCTCCAGGAGCACCAGAAGTGATCATAATTGGGTCTGACAATGTGTTGCCCAAAATTAAAAAATTTACATGTACTCAGAACTAATGCAAAAGACTTGAAAACCTTGCTGTGTATTACTTTGTAACTAGTTTCGTATACATCTGTCGTCCTACCAAAAATTCTGTCGAGTCAACTCCGTCATGCTAAAAATTGCTAAATGCGTTGTTGCTGATTGATTCGTTTATTGTAGACAAGTCTCTTCATGAGCAGAAATCAAAACATGATATGCCAGAAGTCACCGAAGGAATAACGAAAAACTTATAGTGAAAGTCAGACTACCAAATCGACGACAATGCAAAGATGTGATACAGAAATGACACAATGAAGGAAAAAGTCTTCTTCTCATTCACGAGGGTAAAGCACGCTATTTAAGGGGGGGTCACCCCCCTATAAACATATCCTGAAATTTTGTCAGTTTGTAGAGAATACGTTCAACGGTATGCCTATGCAATAAAAAAGTCATCGGTCAAATATTGACCGGATTATTAATTAATCAAGTTTAAAATTAATTGAAGTTTTTAGGGTGAGAGGCATTTTTTAAAAATTTTCTACTTTTTCATATGAATCTTACGTTCAGTTGATTCTGGTGTAGTCTTATAGAGAACTGTTCGTAGATACAGTTTCATGAAAAAATAA